AGGGGCACTATTACACCCACGCTACAGATGAGGAAAGCAGGGGCACCAGGGTGGCTCAGTCAGTTAGGCGTCTGTCTTTGGCTCAGGCCACAATCCTGGGGTCCTGAGATCGAGCCCTGCATTGGGCTCCCTGCTCAGTGAGAGCCTGCTTCTCCTCCCCTTATGCCCTTCTCCCTGCTCGCGATTGTTCTCTATCTCAAATAAATAAAATCCTTTTTTAAAAAAATGAGGATACCAGCTCACTGCATTTTTCACTTCCCCTATACGCAAACAGTCCATCAAGACATCCCTTTCTTCCTAAGAAATGTCCCACAGACTAACAACTTTGCTCTGTTTCTACCACCGGTAATCTAGGTCCTGCCCCCACTCCTCTCCTGCTTTACTAAATAACTAACCAATTTACTGAGCAATTGAGCAGCTCTCCTTCACCCCTTAGCCTCCACTTCCTTCTTCCCATCACCCCCCAATCCTGCTGCTAGATGACCATCCTCAAAACACAGCTATAGGGGAGACTGACTGGCTCAGTCAGTGGAGTGGATGACTCTTGATCTCGGGGTCGTGAGTTTGAGCCTCAGGCTCGGTGTTGAGATTACTTAAAAAACAAACAAATAGGGGCACCTGGGTGGCTCAGTGGGTTAAAGCCTCTGCCTTCGGCTCAGGTCATGATCCCAAGGTCCTGAGATCGAGCCCCACATCGGGCTCTCTGCTCATCGGGGAGCCTGCTTCCTCCTCTCTCTGCCTCCCTCTCTGCCTACTTGTGATCTCTGTCTGTCAAATAAATAAAATCTTTAAAAAACAAACAAACAAACGAAACCCCACAGCTGTTACCAGCCACCAGTGCCTGCTCCTGGTAACCCCAGATTCTAGGCCAGAGCTCCTCAAACCTTAACATGCTCCTGAGTCACCCAGGAAACTTGTTAAAACCTACATCCTCTGCTGGGTGCCTTAACCCATCAGCTCACTGCATCTCATAACAACCTTAAATTAATAGCCTGTTTGACAGACAAACAAACTGAGGCCCAAGAGTGGTTGCCCAATGTCTGCGATGGAGTTTCTCCAGTTCCAGGAGATTCTCCAGTTCTAGTAAGTTTCCAGGTGATACTGATGCTGCTGATTCACAGACCATACTTCTAGACTCTCCTGCCTACTTATTTTTTTCTTTTTTTAGTTTTTTTTTTTTTTAAGAATTTATTTATTTATTTGACAGAGAGAGATGGATCACAAGCAGGCAGAGCAGCAGGCAGAGAGGGGGGAAGCAGGCTTCCTGCTGAGCAGAAAGCCCTATGTGGCGCTCGGACCCAGGACCCTGAGATCATGACCTGAGCCGAAGGCAGAGACTTAACCCACTGAGCCACCCAGGTGCCTACTTATTTTTCTTTCATTTTTTTATTCTTCTTTCTTTTTTTTTTTTTAAAGATTTTATTTCTTTGGGGGAGAGAGTGAGTGATGGAGAGCACAAGCTGGGGACAGGGCAGAGGGACAGGGAGAAGCAGACTCCCCACTGAGCAGGGAGCCCGACACAGGACCCTGGGATCACGACCCGAACCAAAGGCAGATGCTTAACCAAATGAGCCACCCAGGCACCCTATTCTTTATTTTTAACTGAAGTATAGTTGACACACCTTTTTCTTTAATTTTGAACAGCAAATACATTTACATGGTTGGAAAATGAAAAAGTATAAAAATGTACTCGGTCAAAGTTCTCCCTCCCACTTCTCTCCCCCCATCTACCCAGTTCCCCCCATATCCGCCCTCCAGTAACCACTTCTATTAGTTTCGTAAGGTCTCTCCAAAGTTTTTCTGTGCCCATACAAACAAATAAGATCATACTTATCTCGCCCCAAATAGTAGCAAAGGACACACACCGTTTTGTCAACAGTTTATCAGTTTATCTGAGAGATAACTGGACACAGTCGGCTGACTCACACCTCTAGAGTTGCACTGTGTGGACGTGCCATAATTTACTTAACCAGTCATCTCCAGATGGACAATTTGGGTTGTTTCCCATCTTACCAACTGGTCTTTTGAAGCCCGTGATACCCTGGCCAACCTTGCCGTGACCTGGCTCTCACCCTCCCAGTTCCCAGCTCCCACCACGATGAGCTCCTGCCACGTCCCTCACGCCTCCTGCATGACCTCCCCAGATGCTCCAGCCCCCACCCCCACTGGAGCTGCTCTGAACCTCTGCCCCCTTAGTCTCCTCCTCGTTAACTTCCCCTCTTCATCTCTGCACCTGTCTCTTTCTGCCTCCCCAGATAGACTAAAGCAACTTGAACTTTGATGCCATGTCTTTGACCCGTCCGGATCCTTCACAGCCCACAGCTGGCACAGAGCAGTTCTCTAGAACACTAGGTCTGTAGTGGAGCACTGCATATGAAGGGAGCCTCTTCCTTGCGGCTCTGCTGGGGCTGCTGGTTCAGGGCAGAAGAGCCCAGGAGCTACCCGATCTGGGAGAGCTTCATGGCTCCAAGGTCTCCAAGAAAGAAGCCTCTATCTCAAGCCTGAGTGTCTAGAGCCCTCAAGCAGTTTATCATGATGTCCAGGGCAGCACGAGGCATCTGGGTTTCCCTTGTGCCCTCCCCGTGTGGATGATGGGAGGAACCATGCTGCGGAGACAGGAAGATGGAGGGATGGTTGGCATGCGTGTGTGTGCACGTGGGTATGTGTGTCCTTCCCTTTCCTGTTAACATCCTTGTCATCTTTCACGGGCCAGCTCAAGTCTCAAGTCTTCTAAGAAGCCTTCCTGGACTTCTCCAGCCTGTGCTGACTTCCCTTCCTCTGAATTCCTGCTGTGTGTATGAGTGACAGCAATCCCTGTTCTACTTAGTCATCGTGGTCTACCACCTCGGATCATGTACACCTCATCTCCCTGATGAGTCCCCAAGATCCTCCATGGTAGAAATAAGGCCTCTATAGGGCTCTTATATTCCTGCGTAGCCCGAAACCCTCAACCCAGAACTAGGCAGTTGGGAGAGCTTCCATAACTGCTCCTTGAATGAACAGCAGTGGGTTTCAGGAGTGCCATGGAGTGGCTGGGGTGAGACAGGGTTGACCCCAGGCGTGTCTCCAACCAAAAACATTTGGGTAACATGAGGGTTTCTAAAGAAGCTCCTGCCCCACCCCCAACCCAAGCCCATCTGTTCCTCAGTCTTTTCCCTCCTGCTGGGAAGACAATGACCTCATAACCACAAGCCCCGAAAACCCAACTTATCCTGTCTCTTAACCTGGAGCAAGTAAAGAGGACTTTTAAAAAATGCCACTGTATGGGGCACCTGGGTGTCCAGTGGGTTAAAGCCTCTGCCTTCGGCTCAGGTCATGATCCCAGGGTCCTGGGATCAAGCCCCGCATTGGCTCTCTGCTCAGCCTGCTTCCCCCTCTCTCTCTGCCTGCCTCTCTACCTACTTGTGATCTCTCTCTCTCAAAATAAAAAAAATGACACTGTAGGGGCACCTGGGTGGCTCAGTTGTTACATGACTGCCTTCAGCTCAGGTCATGGTCCCGGGAGTCCTGGGATCCAGCCCCGGCCCCGCATCAGGCTCCCTGCTCCGCGCTCCCCCTGCTTGTGTTCCCTCTCTCGCTGTGTCTCTCTCCCTGTCAAATAAATAAAGAAATAAAATCTTAAAAGAAAAAAAAAGCCACTGTCATGAAAAACAAAAGCAAGGGTGGTACTAAATCAGAGCTTAAAGGCACATGATAAGCAAATGCAATGTGTGGCTCTTGACTGGGCTGTGGATTGGGGAAAAAAAAACATAAACAAAAATGACATTTGAGGGATAACTGGGAAATTTTTAATACTTCAGTGTGGTAGCTATTGCGGTCACTTAGAAGAATGTCCTGACTCTTAGGCATTGGATATTGAAGTATGCATGGGGGGATGGACCAGGGTATCTGCAAGTTTCCACCTACAGCAATGAAAATGAAAAAATAAAGGGGTGTGTGTGTGTGTGTAGAGAGGGCATGCATGCGAATGTGGTGACACATTGACAATCCAGGAGGAAGGTGTACAGGTGGTCATTTTACGAGTCTTCCAAGTTTTTTAGAATGAAAAGTTTAGGGGGAACGCCCTCTGGTACAAAGACTTGGACAAATACAACCGTCTGGGGGCACTCAGGGGAAATACAGGGACTGTCTGGGACTGGTCACCCCAACCACACATCCATGCCCGCTGCCAGGAAGCGTGGAAGTCCAACCCCTTGGCCTGGCAGTCCCCTACTCTCAGCACCTTGCACTCGGTCTCCCAGTCATCAACCAACTCCCAGGACTCCCCGCTAGGGCAGTAGCCACCGCCCACCCCAGCCAGGACTGTCCTCCCGGGTATCTTAAGGGGCCACAGCTCCTCTTCCAGGAGACGCAACTGAACCCTAAGTGGGCTCAACCCACCCTGAGTTTTTCAACACTACATTTACTTAACCCACCTTGAGTTTCCACAAATTATATTCACTTCACTTCACAGAAAAGGAAAGAGAATTTGTTGTACAAAAAATGCCAAGATTCAGGCGTCCTGCATTCTCTTTGGAGCTGGGTCACTGTAGCTATTTTCCACCTCTGTCATCAGCTAGGGATACTCCTTTACTGCTTCCCTCCTTTATCTTTTCTTCTGCATGGGCACTTCCTTATAATCCACTGAAGGCTCACAGCCCACTCTTGGAAGGCTCGCAACGTGCCCGCTTGGGCCAGCCATTGCCCCAGTGTGGGGCCCAAAGCGCGCCTTCTGACCTGGTCGTGAACCTCCTCCGGGGTAGGGAGCTAGCCCGCCTCCTCCCTCGTCCTGGGAGAAGAGGGGTGGAGGAGGAGGAGGGCCAGGAGGGGACCCGGGGGAGGCCGGCGGCTCGTCTTCCAGGCTGGGCGTGGGCTGGGCGAGGTCCCCAGCCCACCGGGCCGTGCCAACAATGGCCTGTTGTCGGAGGAGGCGGGCAGGAATGCAGCCGGGGGAGTCGGGCGGCGGGGCGGCCCTGGCGGTGGAGGCGGGGCGGGGCCGGGGCTCGGCGGCAGCCTCTTACCTGTCCAGGTAGCTCGCATTTGCAGGCGAGCGGCGGCGCCCGCAGCACCTGTCGCGGGTGCGCGCGGGCGGGGAGCCGGGCGGGGGGCATGGCCTGTTAGGGGCCCCCGGGGAAGCCGGTGCGGACTTGGGTCCGGGGCAGGGCACCGCCGGGGGAGGGAAGGTCCTTCCCCGGGTGCCGCGCGGCCGGCGGCAGCATGAAAAAGAACCAGACGGTGCAGGGCACCTTCAGCAAACTCTTCGGCAAGAAGCACGCCAACCCCCCCAGTACCTCCCTCTACGCCACCAACCCCCCCTGGATCTTCACCCAGGAGGCCCCGGAGGAGGGGAGCCGGGACTTCGGTAGGAGCACGCGCGCGGGGTGGCGGTCCCCCGGCCCCGGGGGAGGAGGCGGGGAGCGCGCGAGGCGCGGCTCCGCGCGGCGGGGAAGGAACACGCCGCGACCTGCGCCCCGCGTGCGGAGGCGCCGCCGGGAAGGGAAGGCGGCCGGGCTGGCTGTCCCGGGAGAGGGCCGAGGGGCCAGAGGGACGGGGAGGGAGGGAGGCCCTCGCCGCTCGCCGCTGACCCTGGCCGCTTGTCCGAGGTGATTATTTTCCCTCCTTCGGTGAAAAGCGCGTCTGAGTTACTGTCGTCAGAAAGTCTTCCTGGGCTTTGTTCCCCCCAAGCCGAGGCCCAGGGGGTGTCCCTTCAGCTCCTGGCCCGGGTCCTAGGCAAAAAGAGGGGCTGTTCTCTTGGTGCTGACACGCTCGGCTCTGCACAGGGGCGGCCCAGGGAAAATCAACCAAAGCCGCTGCTGCGAGATGACCAGTGGGTGCAAGACACCAGAGTCCCTTCCTGCGGTCACAGGCTCTTGCCCGCTCGGCCTGGGGCCGGTGTTGTCTATGGGCTCAGGCCCTGGAGGCCAAGCTGGGACAGTGGAGGCCAGGGAAGTCCCTCCTGACCGGCAGCCGCCTGGGGAGCCTTGAGTCAGATTGTCTGGACTCACCAAGCCAACCCAGCCCTGGTGCTTTGGCTGTGGGTCATCTGGTCACCACTGCATCTTTTTTGCAGTTTATACCCTCAGTAACTGAGGGGAAACCAGTGCGATGGGGATGGGAATTCACTTCTTGTGTATGAGCTGAAGCTTTCGCTCACCTCCTTCATTGTCACCCTAATGTCTTCTCTGACCTTTATGGCCACTGTACCATGACCTACAAGAAGATGGTATAGACTCACCCTATACCCCCTATACCTGCTATTGGTTTCAGCTCGGCACCCAGGTTGTCAGAGTGGGGACACAAGGCACCTGGACAGGAGGGGGAGAAACAAGGTATCACCTCTTCTGGCCCAGGGATCTCAGACCAGTGGATGAACAAAGCCTATGAACAAAGTGGATGAACATAGGCTATTTTGACTGTTCTGAGCCTTTGCTCTAAAAAATGGAGGGCATAAGGGGTGGGGAAGAGAAATGACCTCTCCTTGGAACTAGGGTTTGAGTTGAGAGGGAAGGGCATCCAGCACTTTGCAGAGTAAACAGCAGGAGCAAAGCCTAGGAGGGGCAGAGCAATGTGGAGGCACAATTTAGGAACTTACTAACTGCTGAGTGTACTGACTCTGTGAGGCCTGAACACCTCTCCTTGCTTGTGTAGCAAACACTTACTGACCCCTTGCTAGATGCAAGGTGCCATTCTAAAGTCCTTACGTTGTTGACTGGGTGGACCCTCCTCATCCAGCAATCTCCATGTAGTCAGTGATGCAAGTACTATAATTCCCATTTGTCAGATGGGGAGACTGAGGCACAGGGAGGTTAAGTAACATGCCCCAAATCACGCAGCTTTACATGGCCACGCCAGGATTTTCTTAAGTATACAATTCAATGATTGTTAGACTTACTGACTCGTGCAACTGTCACCACAATTCGGTTTGAGAACCCTTCAGTTACCCCAAAACTTCCTTCATGAGGCAGAGCTGATATTTGAACCCCAAAGCCAGGCCCCAGAGACCACATTCTTAGCCAGCTTTCTGAATTAACTTAGCAAGAGGTGATTCAAAGGTGAATTTGACTTGAGGGACACCTGCCTGAGAACACGTTTCCCGCCACCCCTCCCACAACGCGCGCGCACACACACACACACACACACACACACTGCTTTCCTAAGGGGAGACCTCAGAAATGTCTTAGACCCTTCTCTGTATTTTTGGCGGCACTAATCAGGCTGCTGGTAGGGATCGGTCCCTCTGGTGAGCGAAGCAGAGGCATTGTTCCCTGTCACCTCCGGCCAGCTGCAGCCTTCACCAGCCTGGGCAAGGCTGAAGCCCAGGGGGCAGTTCCTCCCATTCCCAGGGCAGGGCTGGGCCTCTAGCTGACTCAGCTGACTCAGCCTGGTCGCACCCAGCACATGGAGGGGTGGAAAACAACATGCACCCAGTGGGATGGTCCCCCAGTGTTTCCGGGGTGTTCCCCAGGGTGCCAGTGGGTGTAGCCCAGGGCCTCTTCCCTGCTGAACAGGACATGTGCTAGGAGTTGGGAGAGGAGGGACCAGTGTTGGAGATTCTGTGATGGGATGGAGATACCAGACCTGCCTCTGTCTATAAAGTGAAGGCTAGCCACTCCCTGGGCCTTGGTTTTTTTCTTCTGTGAAATGGGGATGGTGTCTAGATGGTCTGGAGAATGGCTGCTTGAGGTTTGTGCATGGCAGTAGTTTGAAGACTCTTTAAAAGAAAAGCCCTAAAAGTAAGAATTGGCAAATTATAGACCTGGCTCAAATCTGGCCCCTGGCTTGTTTTCACGAATAAAGTTTTATTAAAACAGCCAGTCATGCCCATGATTTATATATTGTCTTTCATGATGCGGTGGCATTGTTACATAGCCTCAGCAGAGACGGTATGGCTCACAAAGCCCAAGATATTTACTAGCTGGGCCTTCACAGAAAAAATAGGTTGATTACTGTATGATTTATTACGTTTGGGTCATTTCGACTCTGTGCGCTTCCTGCCCTTGCCAGCTTCAACATCATTTCCCAACACTGCTGTAGACCAGAGGAAACTGAGGCCATCTTAAGGCCTTAAAGGGGCTGAGATTAGCATTCCATAGGATCCCTGAGTCTGCAGCATTCTCTGAGATGCTGGTGGTATTGGGCCCTAGAGAACAGGGTTGGGGGTGGTGTGGAGGAACGGAGGGGGGATATCAATCCAGAGGTGTGGAAGGGAATTAAGGGGTAACTCGCTGCTCTGTGGCTATAGTATGTAAAAAATCTGTTTGCATAAGGGTAGGCTGGGTGCAGTGGGTAAAATGCAAACAGTCATGTGAAAGCGGTGACCGCTGTTTTTCTTTAAACAATTTCCTTGACATATATTCTAATAACTATTGGGAGAGCTTCACTTAACGCAGATGCAATCCTAATGAAGCCTCCTGCTCCCCACCCACCAGCCCACAGAGGGGTCTTAAAAGGCCACACGATTGTTTTCGAAATGCTTGAGAAGGCAGAGATGTGGATCTTTGCAAATTCTGTGATCAGGGACGGGCTGCGGCAGCCAGAAACAAGGCTGTCTGTCCTTCTGGACTCCTCCCTTACTTCTTGGATGAATTAGCCCACCTTCTTTATTCCCCACCACCTCACCCCATCCCAGCAATGGGTCATCCTCTCTTTCTTGCCTTGTTCCTCCAAACGTAAATTGTTTTTGTCACAACCACATAGGACACTTATTACAGATGCAGATTCCTGGGGTCCCACTCAGAATCGCTGGGCTAGGACTTCCTGCAGGTCTAAATAAATGTGCAGGGACTGAAGCCAGCTCCTGGCCAGGGAACCCCAATGATCCCTAGGGTTGGCTGGTGGTTCTGGCGTCCCCGCTCCTGGGGGCCCCTGACCTTGTGTCTCAGGCCAGACTGGAAGGTAGGAAGCTGTGAACCCCTGGAGCTGAGCGCCTAGTCCCTGCCTGGGCCAGGCTGGCCCCAGCCTCCTGAGAGCTGGCCTGGGCCTTGCAGGGGTGTGAAGGAGACTGCTGTTTCCTCCTGTCCCCTGGAGGTTCACTGCGGTTAGCTGGTAGGTCAGTGCACACATACACACCCATTACCCAAGCTCCTTTCATCCCTGTGGTTCAACTCCAGAAGGCCAGGCTCTCCCTTGACCACAGCAGACCAGCTCCGGGGTACCCCTTCTCTCCAGCAGACACATGAGCAGCGGTAACAATAATATCATCATTACTATTATTATCAGTTATTTACTGACCCAGGCACCATGCTAAAAACTACATATGTTAGGGGCGCCTGGGTGCTCAGTCGGCTAAGCGTCTGCCTGTTTCCCCTCTCCCACTCCCCCTGCTTCTGTTCCCTCTCTCGCTGTGTCTCTCTCTGTCAAATAAATAAATACAATCTTAAAAAAAAAACAAAACTCCATATGTTAACAGAGTCGGAAGGCTTGGGTAGGTGAAAAGACTCAGTCATTTCAGCTCAGGGCAGCACAAATGCTGCCGTGCATCCAGTCGCCTGAGGCCTTGTTACGATCAGATTCTGACGCAGTCGGTTCGGAATGGGGAGAGACTTCATTTCCAGCGAGTCGCCAGGCGAAGTCCTTGGGTGAGTCTACTCTGAGCAGTGCATCCTAACTAGGAAGCAGAGGGCCAGGTCGGAGGAGCTGGCCTCCTCCAGGCCCCGCCCCCAAGGCCACGGAGCTCTGTCCCCACCAACTCCATCCTCCACCCCACCTCCCACCCCCTTCCGGACTCTACCTGTGGCTTCCTGCTCAGGCCCAGCCCAACCTGCTGCGTCCCCTCTGCCCTTGGACAAAGGCCTCTCTCTGGTGCCTGGGTCAGGCCTGCTGGGGCTTGCTGGGACAGACTGGCCTTTTCAGGTTTCTGTCATGTGGACCTGTTAATTAGCAAGGAAGGGCCTCATTAATGTCATTTGTGTGTTACCTTTGTGGGGCCCACCTGCTGCTTCCCTGAAAGGCTGGGGCTCCTTAGTGACCAAGGACTGGATGCTTCATCTCTGTGGGGTGGAGGTAGGGGGTCGGTTTGGGGGTTCTGGCTTATTCTGTCAAGGCAACAAACTCCCTCAGCTACAGCCGCGCCCCTCTGAAGCCCCTAGGATTAGACCCTGGGGCCAGTGCACTTGGGGCTATTTGGGGGCTTCCGGCAATTTGGGGCCACACACCATCACCCCAGCCCTCCTCGTGTCCTTGCCAGCTCCTTTCCCTCTGATTGTGGGAGGCTTCCTGCAGCACAGGAGTAATGGTCCCCATTGGATAGGTGGGGAAACGAAGCCCAAGAAAGTGCCACCAAATCCTCAGGCAACACACTGAGGAGCCACCGTGTGACCCCAGAGCTGATTCCTAGGTCCATTTGTTCCCTCTAGGTGGCAC